TGTTGAGTGAGAGAGGGGGGCTTTCAGCTCGCCTGAATATGGATAAACTTCATTATGTCTTCCAGCCCTCTGTCCACTCGTTCCTTTTCTCTCCATTATACTCCCTGTGAATGAGGTTGCCTGGGTAATGATGGAGGAAGAAAAAAACGCCCTCTTCCTGTTAAAGAAGGAACGTTTTGGGACGAGGATCAAATTCATGTATGTAGAGACGGCGTTTCTGCTGGAATGTCTGAGTGAATAAGAAAAGAGGAAATCCCAGAGTAAATGAATCTGACCGCTCCATGTGAAGGGGGGGGGGGGGGGGGGTATCACCCACTGGACTCTGGGGGCCGTACCTCCCCTTGATGACTGACGTTGTCCATTAGCCCTGTAGCAGTTTAAAACGCTGTGGCCCATGAACCCCCCCCCCCCATTAAGATCTGGTCTCCCGCTGTGAGGACAAATGTCCCTACAGCTGAGACACCATGGTCCTGCGGGGGCCCCAGGGACAACACTGCTCCTGATCTGGAGGGTGTCGTCCGTGTTGACCTGGGTCCAAACTCCTCGGCAGTAACCACAGCAGACTGGGGGGGGGATGCGGGGGTGTGTTGAGGTCTGAAGTCAGTGGCGCCACCATGGTCACATGTTGATCGATGATCTGAAGTAACTCAGGCCTTTCACCAGAGCAGAGCAGTGAAACAAAGACATTAATAAACTAAGTGTGGAGCTGAGCTCTGGGCCGGGCCGACACACGGGCCCTGACACTAGAACTGCTGTGTGTGTGTGTGTGTGTGTGTGTGTGTCAACAGTCCCACACTGACACCCTGGGACAATAAGGTCGGCACGGCTTTCTGTGCTGCAGCCGGCCCTGATTGAAATACAAACTGGTGCAAATGAAGCATGTAATCAGATTAGGGGGGAGGCAGCCGCCCGGGGGAGGCAGCCGCCCGGGGGAGGCAGCCGCCGGGCTGGGAATACGGGCCACGAGGCCACAGGGAACGCTGGCTAAATATCTGGAGTTGAAGTCAGCGGCGGGCGAGCGAGCCTCGTGGTGTTTGGTTCTCACCTGAAGGCTCCTCGTAGCTGCTGTACGTGGCCGTGGGGGGGGCGACGGGGATTTCTGTGACAGGAGAAGAAGTTGGTTTCACATGAACAAAGAAGCAAAATGAGTAAAAACAAAGTGAAGAAAATTTTATTCCAGAAGGTTCTTCTGAGAGCAGACTTCTAATAGAACACTGTGTTTATGACTGTTGGTCTGTGACGTACTGCAGTATTCAATACTGCAGTACTGCAGGTATTCAATACTGCATGTGGTCTAGAATTTGATACATAGCCCACACTGAGGCTGTGGTTCTGGTTGGTCAGAGTAGAACCTGTGCTCAGTGTCAGTACAGGTCAACCAATCAGCAGCATTTCCACATAAACCTCCATGATGACAACACTGTGATGTCATCACTGTCACGTCACTGCGATCTTATCTCTTGACTGCAGCTGTAGTGACAGACTGTGAGTAGAGGTCACAGAGGTCACAGAGGTCGGCCTTACTGATGCACGGAGCGATGGGGGAGCGGCTCTGCTGGTAGCCCTTAGCGCAGCGGTTACAGGTGATTCCTGTCACTCCGTCCTTGCAGGGACACTGTCCCGTAGTCTGGTTGCACGTCTTCCCTGCTGCTCCCACCGGGTGGCAATCACACGCTGCAAAGAAGACAACGGAAGAATGTCAAGCTCACTGATAGTCAAGTGAAGGCCCTAAGGCGCTGGACCGACGGGGACGCTGTAGAAGAAGCAGGAAAACTCCACCGACCGTCTGCTGCGGCGTGTCCTCCGCTGACTCTGGATATAATCCAACCAATCAAAACCCAGTGAGAATTCATTTGCATTAGTGAAGCTTTCTTTTCCTTCCAGACCGTAGCAGATGAAGAACTGGGCCTCGGACCAGAACCAAACCTCAGTCAAATACCGCAGCTCCTTGTTAGCTCTGTGCAGGAGTTTTACACTCTGACTGCACGCTACTGCTTCAACACACACACGTGTGGGAACGGACTGTGTGTGTGTGTGTGTGTGTGTGTTGCTGGTTTAGCTACTGTATGTTTGTGGGGAAAATGCTGCTGTCGTTGGGACCCTCCCTCCATGAGTTTATACTGGAAAAAAGGTCAGATTAGGATAAAGACCCGGTGTGTGTGTGTGTGTGTGTGTGTAACCAGAGGTTGAGTCACTCACTGTTAAACTGTTATTGATTTGATTCTTTTTTGTTAGTCAAAGCAGTGTTGGTCTCTCAGGTCTCAGGTTTGTAAAACTGAAACTAAAATGAATGAATTAATAACATGGTAATAATAATAATAATAATAATAACATAAGCCTGTCCCAGACGGATGTTACACTGATCACTTGGTCTCCTGTGGTTGGTGCCACAAAAGTTCTGATCTAAAAAGTCTCAGCGATAATAGTTATACTCCTGTGTCTAGAGTCAACCACACAGCGGGACTTGAACCCTAGACATTTACCTTTGCAGGCTCTCCTGTGGCTGATGGCCTTGCTCAGGTCCCTGTAGTAACCCTCTTTGCAGTAGTGACAGTGGCGTCCAGCCGTGTTGTGGCGACAGTTGAGACAGACGCCTCCGCTCCTGCGCCCCGACAGTTTGTACAGCTCCATGTTGAAGCGGCAGCGGCGGGCGTGCAGGTTACAGTGGCAGGCTGGGCACAGAAACACACACACACACACACACACACACACACACTCAGTGCTCGTCCATCTGAGGTTCTGTTCATCTCTGTGAAGTCACTCAGTTGGTAGTTGTTCTTTGAATGTGTATGTGGTTTCCATGGTTACACTTTTGGTTACGTTGTGTTTTTTTGCAGTCTGAAAGATGTTGGTGAAAACTGAAGAGTTTCTGTGTTTCTCTGTTGTTCTGCTCTGAGAGTCAAAGTTCAGGTCGTCTTTGACCTTTGAACCGGGGTGATGTGAGACTCACACATCAGGTGTCCCTGTTTTATTATTGATGACATCATCCTCAGGTTCTCCTGGTTGTCATGATGATGATGATGATGATGATGATGACGATGATGATGATGATGATGATGATGACATCATCCTCAGGTTAACCTGGTTGTCATGATGATGATGATGATGACATCATCCTCAGGTTCTCCTGGTTGTCATGATGATGATGATGATGATGACATCATCCTCAGGTTCACCTGGTTGTCATGATGATGATGATGAGGATGACGGCATCATCCTCAGGTTCACCTGGTTGTCATGATGATGATGAGGATGACGGCATCATCCTCAGGTTCCCCTGGTTGTCATGATGATGATGAGGATGACGGCATCATCCTCAGGTTAACCTGGTTGTCATGATGATGATGATGATGTCATCACATGCTGAGGTACAGGTGACTGGTCCCACCAGCTGTGAGGGAGTGGAGCTGACAGGTGGCTGGACTCAGACACACACTTCAGGATGGGGGGCCCACCGACACACACACACACACACACTGTGTCTGGCAGCTGTCACGGGCTTATCTCACACACGTCTCTCACAGGACTGATCCAACAGCAGGCTTTGAAGACTCTGACCTTTGATGACCTCTGATGACCTCTGGTGACCTAATGTTCTCCTGGCTAAACCCATACGGTACCAAACACGTGATGTCAACCATGGAGCTGCAGGACTGTTGGACCAAATCTGTCCCACAGAGCAGAGACGTTATCCTCACACTCTGTCCCACGGCTCCCCCTCTGGAGAAGAACAGGAAGTCCAGGAGTCTCTGGACCTTCAATCATACTCCTGAAAGGACCGTCCATCATTCATGGTCAGACCCCTCCTGCCCCCTAGGGGTCTATTATTTTGAGCTGCCACAGTCAAAAATGTCTCTCGTGTGATTTTGTCTTCCTACGCACACTTTGATACATCAGAATTTTCCCGTACCTGCGGCAGTTTCTGGATTTTTGCGTGCGCCCTTTTTCACGTTTAGTACATCAGGCCCCTGGTCTTCAGGCTCCAGGCTCTGAGGTCATTCCTTTTCCCAGCTCCCAGTCTGAGTGGGAACCAGACACAGCTCCTTATCTCTGACTGACCTCCAGCTTATCTGTCTAAATAAACCTTAGGAGCTGTGAGAGTTTGGAGCAGGCCGCCGGGTTTCTCTGCGTGAAGACGAGGGTGGACCGAGAGCGGAGCTGATCAGCAGAGGAAGGAAGTCTGTGTCTTCTGAAGTTGTGACTCATCTGCTCCACAGTGGCTGTGGTGACAGGCCGTCTATGGACGACCAGGGTCTGTAGATGGTTCTGTGCTCCCAGTCTGACCAGAACATCTTCCACCTCCATCACAAACACACTGTGCACAGACAGATGACCTTCCGTCTGTCTACCACATGGAGAACCCTGGGATATTTATATTTATGTGAGCTGACGTTTGGTGAAGTTAAAGTCCCTAATGTTCCCAACAACGTGATCCAGTCGTCGACCACCTGTGATCCAGTCGTCGACCACCTGTGATCCAGTCGTCGACCACAGGTGATCCAGTCGTCGACCACCGGTGATCCAGTCGTCGACCACAGGTGATCCAGTCGTCGACCACAGGTGATCCAGTCGGCGAGCACGTGGGATCCGGTCGGCGACCACGGGGGACCCAGTGGGGTGTGATGGAGCCCTCACTGCCTCTGCTGCTCAGTTTATAAATGCTGTAATTGGGGGGGGAGGGGGTCTGGTAAATGACGTTAAAGGGGTGTGTGGGCGTGAAAATGGCGCTGTCGGTGGATGGGCCGCACGGCGGTAGAGCTGGGCTGTGATCTGAGGCTCAGCCGCGGAGCGTGTCCCTGCCCTGGACCACGGCTTCTCCCCAGCCTCCCCTTCTTTACTGCCTCAGAGGGGCTGGACGTGGTGGTCCAGACGCCTCTTGGAGCGTCTGAAACCCTAACCCTGCTGTCACATGGTGCTGGTAGTAAACTGGTACCAAACCCCCCCCATCAATGTGGTTTCAGACCAAATCCAAAGTTTTGAACACTCTGTGTGTGTGTGTGTGTGTGTGTGTATCTACAGAATGATGGGATTCCCTGTGTCCCCCACCCCGTTCTGCTTTAACACCACCACCACCCCCTCACCGCCCCCCCCACCCCCGGGCGCTGGAGGAAGGACACCGACATTAAATCAAAGGCCACTGTCTCTTCTCAGAACCGTGCGTCAGTCCGTCCACGGCCCAGCAGAACAGGACTTTTTTTTTGTCTTTTTTGTCTTAAAGCCAGCAGTGAAACCTTTTCTGGCTCCAAACTTCAAGTCTGTGTTGAATTATGAGCTCAACAAAACAAAATCCTCCAAACATGCAGCCTTTACCCAGAGGACACTGCACTGGAACGGAGCAGGAAGGATTGGACCAGATGCATGTTTTTGTTTCGTGGCTGTTCAGAGAAATCTTCAACCAGAGACTAAAGAAGAGACGGGAGTGAGTGAGGAAGGGGGGGTCGACGAGGGTCAGGGTCAGGACGGTGTTTGGTCTGAGGTGCTGAAGAACGTTGAACCAAGTGGCCCCCTCCTCATTCAGTAGATGATGTTGTTAAGTTGACGTCATTTTTTCACCATAACTTCATTCAAACACTCGCTATTCTCTGTTGACGTCTGTGGCCGATGTGGGCTGTTGGTTCTACATCAGTCTGTTCTACGTGACTGGCTCTCGTCCGTCCATCTAACTGGACCCTGGGCTCCTGCCGGCTTTTTCAAGGTTCTCTGAAAGTTCCACACCGCTCCAGTGCCAAAAAATGTTCAAGGATGTTTCCTAACCTGCAGCACACCTGTTTCCTGTTAGCCGCCGTGGGCTGCTTCTTTGAGCGGCCCACTTCAGCCAATCATCCTACTTCATTTTGAAGAGATGAAATTTGTAGTTTTGTTTATTTGTTGTTTCTTGTTTTTCTTCAGGCCCATCTGAGGATTGTCATGTTATTAAGGTTGTTGTGGAAAATAAGTTACCACTGCAGTGACTAACGTGGATCCAAACAAACAGCCCACAACAAGAGCAGGACGTGGGCCGTCACTTTTGTTTTTTTCACTTTCCATGAACTCCTCATCGTTTCCACTGATGTTGAAGTTCACATCCGGACCACTGGGTTCATCTTTGCACGTGTCAGAGGTCAAAGGTCATCACTTTGGATGTTAAAGATGTCGACGTGCTCTTGTTCAAATCCAACCCCCCCCCCATCCTCCCCCTGCTGAGACGTTAGCGCAGTGCTTCTCAAATAGTGGGGCGGGCCCCCCGGTGGGGGCATGAGGGGCTTCCAATGGAACATACGTGTACCACTGCTGTCATGCCTGAATGATATGAATGTGAAAACATTTCTGTCCCCGGGGGGGGGGGGGGGGGGGGAAGAAGAAATGTTTTGGGCTATATTGGAGGAACCATTGGCTAACGTTTTACACTGGGCTAACGTCAGGGCTAGCTACACCTAAGGTGGGAACCTTCTTCTTATTATTATCATTATTATTGACTCCAGTTTGAGGACAACAACAGTTCAACTGGACCCCCACCCCTCAAGATGCCACAAGTGTCAGGCTTTTGTTTTAGTGAAATACACTCACATGCCAGGGTGATTGTTCCGTTTGGTTGAATAAACTGTGACAATGTTTTGTTGCTCTTCCAGATTTGCCTCCCAGCAGCTTAAGGGGGGGCAGAACTGTTGATATAACCCTGCAGCATCACAGTAAACACTGACTCACTGCTGCTGCTATTGACCCCCCCCCCCCCCCCCCAATACTTCACTGAGTCCAAAGTGGCAGCCAACATTCAGCATACCAGAAATGTCAGTGAAAATGCCCCATTTGCCCCTCTGATCTGTAACTGCACCTGCTGGTGGAAACAGGAACAGCCCCTGCCGTCTGTCTGTGTGGCTGCAGTGTTTTCTTCCTATAACAGCCCCCCAGTGTTGGGGGGGGGGGGGGGGGGGGATTTCCTTTAAATAAATATTTTTTAAATCTTATTTATTTATTATATCTCATATACACACATATACCTATGTATGTATGTATTTACTTTAATATAAAATGTGCCGTTTATTTACAGGAGTTAAAACATGTGTTGAAATGAACAATTTAGAGAGTAGAAGTTAACAATCGAATATGTTATTATTATAAGTCATCCTTAGATATTGACCTAGCTAACGAATAAATCGTTGGATACTTTAGGAGCACTTTTAAAATACTGCCCCGTGTGTACTCCACTTCACGTGTTAAAGTTAAAGCACCTCAGAGGTGGACGACTTACCCACACACTCGTTGGCCTCTCGGGCTGTGGCGCGCTGCCACGGCCGGTCATAGTGGAAGGGTTTGCACCTGTCGCACTCCGGTCCCGCCGTGTTGTGTTTGCACTCACACACCAGATTCCCTTCTCTGTCTTTGACGCATTTGGAAGCGTGTCCGTTGCACTTGCAGCGACCTCCGACTTGTAGGTCGGACACGGCGTAAAAGTAGGAGTCCCGCGCCAGCTCCGAGTCGTCTTCGTTCTCATCCCCGAAGGTGTGGAGGCGGCTGAAGATCACCTTGACGTCGGTGGCCGTCACCCAGTCCTGCAGCACCGGGGAGTTGTCGAAGTCGTGCGCCGACGGTCTGCCGTCCAGGGTGCTGAAGGCGATGAGTCCACCTGTCAGCGGGTGCATGTCGGTGTGGGAGTCGGTGCACACGGCCTCCTGCTCGTTCTGCTTGGTGATGGTCGCCTTGTTCTGCCGGTTGTACATCTTCTTACACTGCGTGGAGTAAAACTGGAAGGGAACCCAGGATTTACCGTAGTCCATGGACTTGTAGATGGCCATGGACTCGGGTCTGGGTGAGCAGAACTGCAGACTGACGTAGGTGACCTCGAACTTTTTACCCAGTGACAGGGTCAGGGTGACGTTCTGAGGGTATTGTGGGTAGTTTTCAGAGCGCCAGCAGGTGAGGTTGTGTGGATTGTTGAGGTCCGTCAGGTACGCAGGCGGATGGCACTTCTTTGGATCCCCGGCGTCGCACGTGTGACACTCCCTGCTCCTCTCCTCACCCTTCTCGGTCACCACACAGTAGCGGGCGGCCGGGTTCCCGCAGGTGCTGGACACGCGCACGTCCTTGCCGAAAGCCGAGTTGACAAAGTCGGGGATGCATCTCCGCGGGTTCCCGTTCTCGTCATAGCAGGGGTCCGGAGGAGAGGACTGGGCTGCAAACGTGCTCAGCCCGTACCCCGCCGAGCCGCCACTGCTCAGGGCGGACACTGCCACCAGCGTCAGCCAAACCTCCAGGATCCGTGACATTGTAATCCGTGCACCGCAGAGATGGTGGCGCTGAAACACAATGCAGATAAAAAGGGTGAAAAATGATGAGGGCGGAGAACAAAGTGATGCTGAGAAAAACTTGGACGAACTGAACTGAGACTCAGTCAACATTAACTGAGTGAAGAGAACTCCTCCTCCCGGGAGAGTTCCACCAAGAGGAGCGTCTCAGCCTCACGGTCCACAACAACTGCTGAGAATCTGGAGAACGACCCTCTGTCCCGTTTACACACGGAGAAACAAACGGCTACTGCTACACCTAA